GATAAAAGACAATGGAAGGAAATAAAAATAGTCCACCACCTTGGAGCCTTGTTGGACTGGAGGCACAGCCTGTGGCCCCCCCCCATGGCCCTCCAGAACCACAACTACTGATGCCAATAAAATTTCCCTAACAAACACAAAATACAACCTCGTTCATATTTGTTAATATACAGGGCCTTAAGCCATCCACCAACAACAAAATACATTTTATCAGTGCACTTCTAAAGGAGTCAGATGTGGTGTTTGAAGTCTTCACAGAGACCCACACAAAAGATCCCTTTGAGAAAGAAATATGGATAAATGGTTACAACCTTTTTAGATGTAACAGAAAGAACAGGCAACAAGGGAATGTTGGCCTGTATGTCAAAGAGCCGCTCATCTGCACGGAGATGCTGAACACCATAAATGATGCAGTTGAAGTTCTAACAATAAAGCTCAAGACCCAAAACCTAGACATGGTGGTTGTGTATAAGCCACCAGATGCAACCTCCCAACACTTCAAGAAACAGCTACTGAAGATTGATTACTATCTGGAAAGCCTTCCAGCTCCATCACCAAACATCTTACTGGCATCTTATGGCATGCGAAATGGAAGAATGTAGCTAATAATGTTATAGCAGAAACAATCCCTAGAGGCAGCACAGAAGAAAGGTCACACACACTTGCTACTAAATCTCTGCGATAAACACACCCTTAGTCAGCAGATAGTGGAGCCAACAAGACTGGAAAACACACTTGACCTTATCTTCACAAATAATGAGGACTTGGTAAGAGACATAACAATATCAAAAACAACTAATTCCGATCGCAATCTAATCAAAGTTCAGACTTATATGCACAGTGATCTTGATCAGCAAAGTGCACGTAGCTGTGAGTGTGTCTTCACCAAATACAACTTCAACAAGAATATCATCTGGGACCAGGTGAACCATGTCTTAAATGAAACATGAACATTAAAATGGTATAAAATACCGACAGGTTGTTAGGTAAGACACATATGCCACAGTTAGGTATCTTTATTTCGAAACGTTTCGCCTACACAGTAGGCTTCCTCAGTCGAGTACAGAAAAGTTGATAGAAGCAGAAGAGACTTGAAGACGATGTAATCAGTCCATCACCCTTAAAGTTTTGAGGTGGTCAGTCCCTCAGTCTGAAGAAGAGCATTGTTCCTTAGTCTGAAACAATATGGAGTTGAAGTGACAGTATGGAGCCTTATATAGCGCCAGGAGGTGAGACGTAGGTCACTAGTAGAAGAACGCAGATGTTGGGAGGTCAGGTCCCTCTCAAACCCAGCCGTTCTCACTAGTAGAGGTTGTCGAAGTTGATTGCAGGTCTGTACCAAGATACCCTTGTGTTGCAGTGTCTGACAGATTGAACATTAAAATGGTATAAAATACCGACAGGTTGTTATGTAAGACACATATGCCACAGTTAGGTATCTTTATTTCGAAACGTTTCGCCTGCACAGTAGGCTTCCTCAGTCGAGTACAGAAAAGTTTATAGAAGCAGAAGAGAACGGCTGGATTTGAGAGGGACCTGACCTCCCAACATCTGCGTTCTTACTTCTACTAGTGACCTACGTCTCACCTCTTGGCGCTATATAAGGCTCCATCCTGTCACTTCAACTCCATATTGTTTCAGACTAAGGAACAAAGCTCTTCACCAGACTGAGGGACTGACCACCTCAAAACTTTAAGGGTGATGGACTGATTACATCGTCTTCAAGTCTCTTCTGCTTCTATCAACTTTTCTGTACTCGACTGAGGAAGCCTACTGTGTAGGCGAAACGTTTCGAAATAAAGATACCTAACTGTGGCATATGTGTCCTATCATAAGTGAAACATGTTGGGAGGGTATCTTAAATAACATGGATCCAAACCAGTGCCTTGAAAGGATCAACTTTCTGGCAGCTGAAGTATATTCAAGGCATATTCCCCTAAGAAAGAAGAAGAGAAGAAATAAACTTGAGAAAGATGCTCCCTCTACAGAAGACGATGAAGAATAACTGAGCTCTTCAAGAACGCTAGATTATCTGATACACGGAAGGAAGCACTGGCCAGGGAAGTGGAAAGTATCGAAATTAAGTGAAAGGATTCTTGCAGGACCCAGGCGAGACTGGAGGAGGTAAAAGCGATTAGTGAAATTGAAAGAAATTCGAAATATTTCTTTTCATATGCCAAAAACAAGGCAAATACCACATTTAGTATCGGCCCTTGCTCAGACAAGATGGGACTTACACAGATGATAACAAAGAAATAAGTGAGAAACTGAAATCCCAATATGACTCTGTGTTTAGTTAGCCACTAATCAGTCTAAAGATAGACAATCCAAATGTTTTTTTTCATGAATGAGCCTCAAAACTCCATCAATGTATGCCAGATTTCCGACATTACCCTAACTCCAACAGACGTTGAGAAAGCCATTGACAACATGCCCATGCACTCAGCCCCAGGCCTAGACTTGTGGAACTCTGTGTTTATTAAGAACTGCAAGAAACCCCTTTCGTGTGCTCTATGTATACTATGGAGAAGGAGCTCAGACATGGGTGAAATTCCACAGTCACTAAAAACAACGGATATAGCCCCACTCCATACAGGTGGCAGCAAAGCATTAGCTTAGAACTATAGACCAATAGCTCTAACGCCCCACATTATAAAAATCTTTTGAAAGAGTGTTAAGAAGCACGATTGCATACAACTTGGATTCTCAGAAACTGCACAATCCGGGGCAACATGGGTTCAGATCAGGTTGCACCTGCCTCTCTCAACTACTGGATCACTATGATATGGTTTTAGATGCACTGGAAGAAAAACAATGCAAATGTAATACACAATGACTTTGCAAAAGCTTTTGACAAGTGTAATAGCACACAAAATACGTGCTTAGGGAATAACTGGCAAAGTGGGAAGATGGATCTTCAACTTTCTAACCAATCGAACACAAAGAGTAGTGGTCAACAGAATTAAATCGGAAGCTGCCATAGTAAAAAGCTCTGTTCCACAAGGCACAGTACTCGCCCCCATCCTGTTCCTCATCCTCATATCAGACATACACAGAGATGTAATCCACAGCACCGACTGTCATCTATTGAGGACTCTGCTAACCTCCAAGAAGATATAAACCAAGTTTTCCAACGGGCATCGGAAAACAATATGATGTTCAATGAAGACAAATTCCAACTACTCCGTTATGGAAAACTGGGGGAGACAATAACTAGAACTGACTATACTACAAACTCTGATCATACAATACATCGGAAAAATAATGTGAGGGATCTGGGAGTGGTAATGTCTGAGTATCTCACTTTAAAGAACCTCAACAATGCCACGATTACAACTGCAAAGAAAATAATAGGATGGACAATGAGAATGTTCAAAACAAGAAAGGCCAAGCCAGTTATGATCCCTTTCAAATCACTTGTTCACTCTAGGCTGGAATATTGCTGTACATTAACATCTCAGTTCAAAGCAGGTGAAATTGCAGATGTAGAGGGTGTACAGAGAACCTTTACGGCACATATAAGTTCTATCAAACACCTCAACTACTGGGAACGCTTCGAAGCACTTGACTTATACTCGTTGGAACGCAGGCGAGAGAGATATATCATAATCTACACTTGGAAAATCCTAGAAGGGATGGTCCCAAGTCTTCACACAGAAATCACTCCCTACGACAGTAAAAGACTTGGCAGGCAGTGCAAAGTACCCCTAATGAAAAGCAAAGGGGCCATTGGTACACCAAGAGAAAACACCGTAAGTGTCTAGGGCCCAAGATTGCTCAGCAGCCTCCTCATGCATAAGGGGAATTACCAGTAGGCAGTGGTTGTAGATCATCTAAGTTCTCATCTCTCCATTCATTTACCAACTGATAGTGATTATTGTTAAATCGACGACTGATATTGTGGGAGATAATTTTCTCCCATACATCACCCATCAAATTAGCCTGGTCCTGTGGACACTTAAAACATGAAGTATAATATATAGACTTGTTCAACATTGTCGATCTTCTCCAATTGTTGGCACACGTTAACTATTAGCTTGGAGACTAGCAATTTCCATAAGCAGTTTGTGATGACTAATCTGTAATTAATTCTTGCCTCAATCTGTGCAATGTACCCACTGGTTGGGTTGAGTGTTGATGGATAATTCTAAGCGTCTCTAATTCTAGTGTTTAATGGATAGATTTGTGAAGCTAATTGCTTGCTGTAGCTTTTTGTGTGGAGGATGATCCCGTCATCAATTGCACTGAGTTTTCAATCGTTTATCGTCACCCAGAATCCTGAAGGGTAAATCTAGGTGTTAGATTGGGTTTAGGGTTACATCAAATATTTTGTTGAACATCAACGTTTCACAATACTGATAGTGGAAAGCAATTCCAAAGTCCTGTTGCTGATAACTAATCATGTTAATTAATTCTGCCTCATCTGTCCAATTACTGCTGGGGTTGCGCGTTTGAAGATGCTTCGACTCTGCTGATAATTTCTAAGCGTCTTCGAATCCCAGTGGTTTATATATGATAGATCTTTATGGACAGTAATTGGCAAGTTGCAGTTAGTACTCAATAATGATTGTTGGGAGGGACTGATACCGTCATCATTTGCGTGAAGTAGAGTTTCCACGCACATTTCATTTCACCAGAAATGCCTGAATGGGTCAAACCAGGTGTAGATTGGGTTAGGAGGTACGTATCTAAATGAGAAGATTTGTAGTGTTTAACAATGGTCGTCTACGTTTCCACAAGAGATACGACAGTAAAGTGTTACAGTCTCTATGACATTATATAACAGTAACAAGTTTTCCAAGTATTGACATTACTCTCAAAATCGTGGCCGGAACACATCAAAACTATCCCACAATTTAGAGAGAAAACTAAAATAAATTTTGATCCATTCTGGACAATTAGTCTCATTTGAGCTTTGATCATGGTCGAGGACGAACAAACTCTCGTTCCTTATTTTAGGCTGTGAATCATTGTCATCACTTATAATCTTATGCTTCTAG